GCTAATAATTATATTTCCCTTCAGATTGCATATGAATATATCATGGGAGAATTTCTGTTTTAAATACGAAACATTAGTGAATAATGGATCTATATACATATACTAGCCATACAGGTTGACGCCCCTATGGCTTAAAGTGCTTAGTTCTTTCACAGATTCAAAGAAATTTAATGTGAAGAGATTATTCTTTGTAAATGATGATAATGAAAGAAAAAAAATGGCAAGATTATAATTATAATATTTTTCAAATTTGTACTGACTTTATCACGATTAATAAGCAATAACTAGACAGAAGATAATTTCATGGAATTTGTGAAAGCAATAGTTGCCCTGAACTATGGAGGGTGAGTCGGTATGTTGAGTACAGATGTAGATTCTTTATTTATAAATATTCCTCGGACAGAGATTGACAAAGAATTTGCAGATAATTTGTTATATTTGTGAGTAAATAAACCGTGTGGGGTCACGGAGCTTCAAATAGCGAACGTTGAGGTGTCTATACGCTAAGATCAGGTTTCAGATCGGTAAGCCTGGACATTGCTGTCCAAGACTGCACGTTCCTGTTAATAATCGTACCGCTGCAAGCAATTCCATTCTACTTCGCAGATCGGTGTCCTGTTGGTTGCCATGGTGACAGCCCGGGATCGGCGGGAGGCTGAGCCTGGGTATGGTGGACATGTGGTTGACCACGGCATCGGTCTCGGCTTGGGCCATGGTATCCTTCATGGTCACGGACTGGGACATGGCATTGGTCACGGACTGGGGCACGGCATCGGCCACGGACTGGGGCACGGCATCGGCCACGGACTGGGCCACAGCGTCGTCCACACTGTTACACATACACATGATGGCGGAATTAGCCACGGTCATGGTCATGATTTGCACCATGGTGGCCATGTAATAGTCCACGGCGGTCACGGCGTACACCATGGTGGTCACGGCCTACATCATGGTGGTCACAGCATACACCACGGCGGTCACGGACTACACCACGGCGGTCACGGCCTACACCACGGAGGTCACAGCCTGCACCATGGTGGACACAGCTACGGTTACGGCCGTGGACACGGACACGGAGGTGGACATGGTCACGGCGTGGTACACTCCTATGAGGTAGGACACGGACATGGATACAAGGGACACGGAGCTGCTTTCGGGTACAAGACGGCAGTGGAGCATCCTTATCACGGTCTGTCCTATCAGAGGAAACACGCCTATGTAGCTCCTCACCACGGACATGGGCATGGCTACGGCTATGGATATGGACATTGAGTAGTGTTGCCATACATATTTATTCAAATAAATTTCATTTCCCCTATCCTATTTCCTTTCACCACTAAAAACAGAGAGATAAAGATCAAGAGAAAGAGAAAAAATGAGTACGTGGGTGCAGCAGACATCAGAAGATTCTGCAGTCTATAGACAGTCTTCTTCTACAGGCAAAAATGTATTTTTTTCTGAAAGACATGCATGTATATTGTGACTTGAATAATAAAAGTAGATGGAAGAATATGTTGTAACTAACTATACAGTATAAGCATTAATTCTCATTAACTAAATCAGTGCCAGCCACTTGTTAATATAGTCCTCCAAGTAGATCATGGTATATCCTGATACGCTGTCTAGTTCTTGAACATCTGTGTAAGTGCCACTTGCCACTGTACAGAGATGACTGTGAAGACTATAATGCTAAATTTTAAATGTGTTGGTCCTGCTGATTGCTTCAAGACTTCATTATTTTGTAAATAGCAGCAGTAAGAAGAAAACTTTCCAGTGCTCGAACCCACAATAATGCAAAATAGTTTTCTGTGAAGTTTCTTATCATTTATATATATATATATTATATATATATATATACATATATATATATATATATATATATATATATATATATATATATATATATATATATATATATATATATATATATATATATATATATATGCATTGTTCAAATCTCTAGTAAGCAGATGCATGCAGGATGAGATGAAAAGCTGTAGCCTTCTCCTGAAGCTGGCTGCCTTGTCAAACGTTAGCGCATGCTACACGCAGATGTCCAGTGTGTAGAAATGGAAGCACTGTACCTTGTCCAAGGTTCGTAGGTTCATCTCCTTCACCAGAGATCAGGTTTGTGTATATTTCGCACTATATATATATATATATATTTATATATATATGTATTATATATATATATATATAATAGGGGAAAAAATCAGAACTGCGGCTGGCCAGGGCTCAATCCTGTGTTCCCATGCCCCCCAGCCCTGTGAGAACAGGACACAGTACACATCATTCTATCCACTGGACCACAAATCTGTGGTCCCTGCAAGAAATAGCACCAACCTGCAGATTATATTACCTTTCATAAGCAGAAGTCGGGACCTTCCAGATCTCCTTCCTGACCGAGACAAAGGGATGAAAACATTCACGAATGCTGAAGCTCCTCAGACTTCAACGTGAACCAATTTTCATTTTCGTAAACCTAAGTCAACTTATGGTAGATTACAAGAGACACCGAGAAAACCCGATGACGATTCACTGAATGACCAATACTGGGAAAAATTGATTATATGAGAACTATGAAGAACAGTACTCTGAAAATTGCATGTAAAAAATGCTAAGAAACAAACAGTATAAAGTTGCAACATGTCCACAATACTCGTAGATATGAATGAATATCTAACTATTCAGGGTAAGAGTTTATTCTAACCTTGAACAACCTTCATTATCTCTTTTCTGATATCTTCGAAGATCATTAAGATAAACAAGGACTTCCAACTGATTGACAAATCGGAGGGAATGGTTTTAGTACTTTTAAAGAGATGGGGGAAAAAAAAGAGGAGCATCACTCCGGAGATCACCCTCGACGAATCAACAACTTAAATATCTAGCTAGAAGCGATGGCTGTAGTTGTGCTTACGGACAATGCATTATTAGGTGCTACGCTAAGAGATCTTGGGCCTATATTCGGTTAAAAAAATATTATAGGCAAATGATTTTAGATTTTTCAATTTGTGTGTGTGCTAGCCAAAGTGCGTGTAAATGCGCACTGAAAAGTTTGAACAATTTCAGCAATTCTGTAGAGTGATTAGAAATCAGACTGCTAGAAGAGGGAGATGGGCTAGCCATTGCAGTCCTGTTATTGCCCTGCCATTCATGATATATGTGGGACGCGTCATAGAGCAAGAAACTCCTTCGTCTGCTGTCTTACGCAGTCGTGGTGTACTTACCGGCAACACTTCATAAACTTTAACATGAACTTCTGTCCAAATAGTGAGGAATAAGACATATGAGCAACACTAGGAATTTTACTAGGAAACGTTCCACCTATCTAACACTAACACAAGCCTGTTGCATGTCAAAACCCCTAGCACTCCGAAATGTTTTGTACCCACTCCCAACCGTTCCTCTTACGGTCCTTACCCCCCCCCCTCCCTCGTGCCTCCGCTCCAGTTTTATACATTATCGTAGTCTTTCAACAATTATGTTAGTTTAATAAAAGGAGGAATTGTTCAAAAATATCTTTGTGTATTGTTGCGCAGACAAAATACGGAAAACAAATATTTAAATTATATGTGGCGAAACGTTGTTCTGCATATTGTGTCTTTACACCCAATACCTCTGGGCTTTGTATCTCTGAATAGTTTGTATTTATATAACGTTCACCCACTTCGGCATTATCAAGTATTGAAACAGTCTCAGTGGGTGAAGCATCGTCTTAAGAAAGTTCTTTGACTAATGTTTCTCTTTACCACCAGAAATAGTAGAAATCAAATTTAATCTAAATGAGGAAAAGGTAGTCCCGGTTATCTGGATCAAGAGCCATTAAAACACCCCGCTGGGGGTGGGATATCCTCTTCAGCTCGGTTAATTCAAGGTGAATGACGGCAACACTGCTGACAATCATGGCTGAAGGTTATGACTTGATAAAGATGTACCCGGAGAATTACATAGTTTATAACGAAAGTTTACCATGCACTTTGCGTCTACAATACAAGCTAAAATTAGACAAAACTAATTAGTTCCTAGTAGAGAATTTATATCAGTGCTAGTTTATAATGTATGAACTATCAGGTTTTTATTAAGAGTTGTATACAGCCATCATGGCTGATAGTGACTGACTTCACACCATCACTTCAATGATGGTGTGAAGTCGTCAATATCTCCATGAAGTATTAAATTTTGGGGCTGTCAAAGCAGGACCCAGGCACGGCCGTCTCCTCAACCACGAATGTAACGCAGCTGTAATTTATATGATAAGTTATTTCACGTCTGTCACAGTCAAAATTATTTTAATGCTCGACATACTGAAATTCAGCAGAGATACACTGAATATGTGGCAAAGAGTTTTTGTGGTCAACCAAACAAGTTTGAAGATGTCAGCCTAGCAGATATTGGCTAAATGAGAATATTTGTGATGTATTTTTTCGAATTTTGCACTTAATTACCTTCAAATATCAGACTGATAATAATAAGCTAATTACCTGTCATCTGTGAATAATTAATTACAGTGTTATTTAGTGATGGGATATAATGAATAGACATTTTAATTTATTTGTATAAATTATAATATCCTGCTTAAATGTGTTAAAACTAATGCTTAATTTGCTATTTTCCTCATTTTTTTACGTCATAAAAACTAATATTTGGTGTACTTGTTGCAAGTCGTAGCAACTTGTTAACCAACTTAACGTGTGTGGTAATATAATGTATTTTCTTGTCCACTACGTAAGTCACAAATATATAGCGTAGTCAGTTCACAAGATGGGTATTTAGCGCATTATAATTCTGTGAAAATAACCAATGGAATACATCCTGAAGTAATAGTCATTTATTTTATGTAACATATTTCTTACAATTATGAAGAGAGTCTCCTTCATATATTTATTATAGATCGTTTAATAGTTATGCAGATCATCGCATCTGGACAGATAAATATTAAAATAAAAATTTGGGGACTGCTATTAGAGAAGACACATAGAAGTGAAGTGAATACTAACTGTAAGTAGAAGATTGTAAGAAATGTCTGTTATCTTGCACGTTTTAGACCGTAAGAAAGGTTCAGCAATCTTGTCAGAGTGCAAACCTTTTAACAGACTACCTTTGGGCACCGGCGAGAAAGGAGGGCTGATGTACCTCACTAAACAGAGTGCTGTCTTCTATACAATCTGAGGAGAGTTATTGTATGTATTAATCTGAAGATACAAATTATGTCTACCGATAAATTTACAAAAGAATGCCAACCAGGTGATTTTTCTTCCATGCCAGTTTGAACCTGATGCTCGACATCACATATACGAGATTACTGAATAAAATTTAGAAATTATACGAGTTTTATTCCGTTATCTTCATAACTCAGCCACATTATCACATTCTCCTTAATTTGAGAAAATAACACTTGAATTCAAAACATTTTGCATATTTAATCGCTAATATTAAGAATAAATCCCACACTCATTTTGTGGACAACAAACGTTTTACTGAAGACTCAGTTCACTAACGTCTACGATGATAAGTGAGACGAGGGAGAAACACTTTGGTATCTTTACTGTGGAAACGTTTCGCCAGTCAGTGTCTTCATCAGTCCAATACAGACAAAAACGCTGAAAGATCGGAAATAGTTTGAAGTAATCAGTCCCTCGGTCCGGAGATGAGATGCTGAGGGACTGATTACCTCAAACTCTTCCTCATCTTCCACTGTTTTTCTCTGTACTGGACTGATGAAGCCACTGGCTGACGAAGCATTTCTACAACAAAAATTATTAAGTGTTGCTCAAGTGGGCTCATTCATCAACTTTTCGATTTTTTACACCATTCATATAATAAACTCTACGATGTCCGGTATTGCTAATACAAAGACAAGGGAAGACTAGGGAGGAGAGACAGTAGCGACAGGAGGAGAGGGTGAGAAGGAATGTGACTAGCGTGAGTATATAAGCACCATCACACCGGACATTACCACATTCCCACTTCCTCAGAGCCTCAGCCAACAAGTGCCACCATGAGGTCTCTGGTGAGTTCAGAGTTCCAACCGCGAACATGATGGTTTCTTTGGATTAACCTCGTTTACTTCATTTATGGTTGTCATAATATTGAGAACTAACGACAGTACAATGGTCGATGAGGTCGAAATTCTCGCTACACATTAACATGCAATATTTTTTAAATATACAAAAAAAAAATGCATTGAACTGTCCGTACATAAATAACTGAAAAATTAAGATATGCAACAGGTGTGTACATCCAATAAAATAAGCCTATGGGATATACCTATTTATCATTTTATATAATGATCACTGCACAAACGACAGGTATATTTACATATATATCTAATAATTTTTTTTACATCAGGTCTTTGTCGAAATTGTGAACAGGAAGATAACAGAAATTTTTATTCGATACATTTCCGACTATAATAGTCACAATGTATATAATTTCTTTCACTTTATCAGATCGTCATCCTGTTGGTTGCCATGGTGACAGCCCGGGATCGGCGGGAGGCTAAGGCTGGGTATGGTGGACATGGCCATGGTATCCTTCATGGTCACGGACTGGGGCACGGCATCGGTCACGGACTGGGGCACGGCATCAGCCACGGACCGGGGCACGGCATCAGCCACGGACTGGGACATGGCATCGGTCACGAACTGGGGCACAGTATCAGTCACGGACTGGGGCATGGCATCAGCCACGGACTGGGGCACGGCATCGGTCATAGACTGGGGCACGGCATCGGTCACGGACTGGGGAAAGGCATCAGTCACGGACTGGGGCACGGCATAAGTCACGGACTGGGGGACGGCATCAGTCACGGACTGGGGCACATCAGTCATGGACTGGGGCATAGCGTTATCCACCGTGTTAGCCATACTTATGATGGTGGCATCAGCCATGGTCACGATTTGCACCATGATGGCCATGTGGTGATCCACACTGGTCACAGTCTACACCACGACGGCCACGGCCTACATCACGGAGGCCACGGCCTACACCACCAAGGCCATAGCCTACACCACAGCGCTCACGGCTTACACCATGGCGGTCATGGCCTGCACCATGGAGGCCACAGCTTGCACCATGGTGGTCACAGCTACGGTTACGGCCGTGGATACGGACACGGTGGTGCACATGGTCAGGGAGAGGTTCACTCCTACGAGGTAGGACATGGACATGGCTACAAGGGACACGGGGCTTCCTTCGGGTACAAGACGGCAGTGAAGCATCCTTATCATGGTCAGTCTTACCAGAGGAAAGACGTCTATATCGCTCCTAACCACGGCCATGGCCATGGCAACGGCTATGGTTACGGACACTGAGTAGTGCTGCCATATGTATTTATTGAAATAAATCTTATTTCTATAAGCCTATTTTCTATTATCAATAAGAGAGAAAGAAACAGAGAGAGCCCTGGGGAATGGCAAATATTAGAGAAGTATACAGTTTACACAAAGTCAGTCCGCAGAGATAAAAATGCAGTACCGTTTTCTTAAAAAAATGGGATGGATATTTGACGTGATTGATATAAACAAAAGAAAATCTTGTTCTATAGTTCCCACTGCAAAATAATAGTAATACTTACGCAGTTACTTACACTACTCCATTGCCAGCACAGATTTTTTTTAGATTTTGCCACCGAAGTGGCTAGTTTATTGTGCACCCCATATCCATCCTGTGGACGGTAGCGCGAGAGCATGTGGATACACAAAAGGCCTAGGAACTAGGCCCCAAAGGGTTAACAGGAATACATATGGATTTATATCCACATATCTATAGTTCACTTATCTGTTACAAGCAAATTTAGGAAATTTGCTTAGTATATCTGGTATCTTATTTTCATTAATAAGATATCTTGACATGTCACATAGGTTATTATATGTCTGTCTCTGTTTCCTCAATAAGTGGACAATTAAGCACATAGTGTTCAAGAGAGTGACCATATGCCTGATCACATAATTTACATTTAGTTTGATCATCATGTGGTCTCCCAAACTGCCAGAAGTACTTGAAACCCAAGCCTAACCCTGGCCACTACAACATCAGTCAGTCTGTTCACATTGCAAGTTGCTCCATAAACATACTTATCTACGTTCATGTTATCATAGTGGGTTATAGATCTACTCAGGCTTCTAACTGCATTCCTATAACAATCATCTTCATTATTTACTTCTCTCCTAATATTATTCCTAATGCTAGACACAGTTATACCAAAGTTATATTCTACGTTCTCCTTCTGGATACTCTTCTTGGCTAACATATCAACTTTATCATGAAGGAGTAATCCAATGTGTGATGGGATCCATAGCAATTGTACATTAATTCCTTTGTCCCAGCACAGTGTGGTGTATACCACTATATTTACTGGTTAATACTGTGCTCCTCTAGATCATAGAACACCCGACATGCTGTGTAGTTCTTGATTTTGTACCTGAGTGCTGGTGGCCACTACACAGAGTTGACTGTAATGTGTTTGTCCCACTAACCCTCTAAGGACTTACCTTGTGTCCTCCAAAGAGCATCAGCAATATTTGCTATGTGTGGGAGAAAACGTTTCAGTAATGATATCGAGATAGCACACAAAGCATGTGGTTTATTTTTGAACATATATATATTATAATTTTATATTATAATATATTTATTATATATATATTTTAAAATTTATATATATATATTATAATTTTATATATATATATATATATATATATATATACATAAATATATATATATATATATTTTATATACATATATTTATATATATATAAAATATATATATATATATATATATATATATATATATATATATATATATACATTATATATAGTGGCTGCCCAAGGGTAGCCACTTTCATGTTCCAGCTCCTCAGTGTCGCCATCCAGAAGGGAAATGCTTGCTGCATACTTGGCTCGCGTCCGGCTTAGGAGGAGCTGGAGGACATTCATAATCTTTGATGTAAAGTACCAATGTATTCATGTTTGTATTTTTTGTCAGTGTATTCTGTCTATAAGTAAAGTTCACATAGAATATAGGGGATGGTAGAAGAAAGTATTCAAACAGCTCCGGGGAGAACCTTGAGTTTTCCCTGAGGTACGTTTATTGTCTTCTCTGAGGATGAGGGTCCCCAGTCCAGATCTAGAGGTGGTACCTCTCCCTCTCTCTCTCTTTCTCTCACTCTCATTATATATATATATATTATATATATATTATATATATTATATATATTATATATATATATATATTATATTATAAAATATATATATTATATAATAATATATATATATATATATATATATTTTATATATATATATATATATTTATTATATTATATTAAAATATATATATAATTTTATATATATTATATATTTTATATAAAATATATATTATTTTATATTATATATATAATATATAATATATATATATATATATATATTTATATATATTTAAATTTAACAAGTCGGCCGTTCCCACTGAGGCAGGGTGACCCAAAAAAAAGAAAGAAATCCCAAAAGAAAATTTCTTTATCGTCATTCACACTTCACTCACTCCCATAATCATGTTTTGCAGAGGTGCTCAGAACACAACGTTTAGAAGCATATTCGTATTTAAGGGTACACAACATATCCCCCAAACTGCTAATAAACCCAAAAACCCTCCTTTAAAGTGAAAGGGATGAACTTTTTCCCCTTTCAGGACTCAAGTCCGGCATTAAAATAACCGGTTTCCCTGAATCCCTTCACTAAAATTACCTGCTCCACTCCCAAAAGACGTCAGGTCCCAAATGCATTCGTCTCCATTTACTCCTATCCCAAAAACGCTTTATGACGCCTGCTGGAAGTCCAAGCCCCTCGCCCACAAAACCTCCTTACCCCTTTCCTTCCAACCTTTTCGAGGCGACCCCTACCCCCCCTTCCTTCTCCTACAGGGTTTAAATGCTCTCATGTCATTAACTTTGTCCATTCTCTCTAATGATCAAACCACCTCAACAACCCCTCTCAGCCCTTGGGCTAATACTTTTTAAATCCCACCCCCCTAATTTCCACACTCCTAATTTTCTGCATAATATTTACACCACACATTGCCCTTAGACAGGACATCTCCTCTGCCTCCAACCGCCTCCTCGCTGCTGCATTCACAACCCAAGCTTCACACCCATATAAGAGTGTTGGTTCTAGTATACTTTCATACATTCCCTTCTTTGCCTCCATAGATAACGTTTTTTGACTCCACATATACCTCAATGCACCACTCACCTTTTTTCCCTCATCAATTCTATGATTAACCTCATCCTTCATAAATCCATCCGCCCACACGTCAACTCCCAAGTATCTGAAAACATTCACTTCTTCCATACTCCTCCTCCCCAATTTGATATCCATTTTTTCTTTATCTAAATCATTTGATACCCTCATCACCTTGCTGTTTTCTATGTTCACTTTCAACTTTCTACCTTTACACACACTCCCAAACTCATCCACTAACCTTTGCAATTTTTCTTTAGAATCTCCCATAAGCACAGTATCATCAGCAAAAAGCAACTGTGCCAATTCCCATTTTGTATTTGATTCCCCATAATTTAATCCCACCCCTCTCCCGAACACCCTAGCATTTACTTCTTTTACAACCCCATCTATAAATATATTAAACAACCAGGGTGACATTACACATCCCTGTCTAAGACCTACTTTTACCGGGAAGCATATATATATGGTGATACCATCTGGACAGACGGCAAGCAGGTGGTGTGGGACTACACTTGTGCATCTACCTTGGCTGACACCTATCTCCAGTACACTAGGGAGGAAGGAGGGACAACTGCCAGCTTCAGGGAGTCCCAAAAGTCTAGAAAATACGGAGACCTTGCTTATCATTATGTTTGCTCCCATAGGCTCAGAGACCCTTGGCTCATTGGGAAAGAGTGCATCTAAGTTCCTTAAAGAGCTAGGCAAAAGATTCATCAGGGTAACTAGGGATCCCAAGGCAGCTAGTTTTCTATTCCACCGACTCAGCGCTGCTGTTCAGAAGGGGTAATTCCTGTTGCATCTTGGGAACGCGCCCAGCTCTGAGGAGCTGGATGAGATTTTCTCATTATAATCGGTGACAAACACTTAACAATATGTACTAGACATGTGTCTCTCACACCTCATGTACTGTATATGCAATCTTTATATCAACAATGTATCTCTTAAATCTTTTGTACCACATTATGTAATAAAATATACCTATGGGTAAAAAAGAATGAAGAGATGGGGTGGCAGGGGAAGTGGAGTATTCAAATGGCTTCAGGAAGAAATCCAATTATTCTTTCTCGAAGCCTTTTTATGCACTTCTCCGAGAATATGGGTCCCATAGTTTGCACCAAAGGGCTCATTTTAGGGATACCTTCATATAATCACTGAGAATTATTTGGTTTATTCTTCTTATTCTTGGCTTTTGCTAAGTTTGATCTCTTAGCGTAGCTGCAAATTCTAGAGAGTATTCTTGGTTCCTTCCTACGTCAATGATTAGTTTCATATCATAACCCGAATCTCATTCCTGTGCAGAAAACTCAATTCTTAACATATACTAGAGATATATGAACCTTTGGCAATCGATTTCAGATTACATTTAGTACTGGAAAGAAAATAAATGAATATACAAGATGCAGAGTGGAAAGAAATTATCTTTTGTAAGGCATTTGAAGACAAAATTATGACCATTGCACGTTAAGTGGGTGTCTCACTAGTCTAGATACAAGTTTAGATTTAACTTGCATATGCTACTTTTCCTTGGACCACTTTCACCATCTCAGCTCGGACAAGGAAGAGGACCGGGTAGTACAACTCGTCTCAAGCATCAGCATGGTCTAGCTGGACCTGTTATTTAATTTCAGCAAAGCTTTCAATAACGGAAAGACAGTGGTTGCATTACTGTTACGTACAACTCCAGTGTTCTTAACGTTTATCAGCTACCCTACCATCCAGAACAGTTATAAGAAGCACATTACTCCAAAAGAGGCGCAGGCACAGTCACTCTGGCTCTTCCGTTCGCAAGAAAAACATTGAATATGCAATGATTCAGTCCTTGAATAACTAACATGTGTAACATTTCAGACATTTCTCTTAGCAGACAGTATTACACTGTTGGTAAAACAACCTAATGGATGACTGTTTAACTAGCCTTAAATAGTATCTGACTCTTAACTCGCACTGTAGGCTCCCATTTTCTAGCGTCAGAATATTTTATCGTAGATCTTGCATGTTATTTTTAACAGCAGTAAAATAACAGACAACTATAAATAAAGTATTATGGAGATAATGCATGCAAACGTAAGTCAAAAATCTGTTACATAAATAAATAAATATAT